CCGGTGCCCCGCGCGCGCCCTCCAGGCAGCGCCGGCCCCCGCCGATCTCGGGATGCCCTGAGCGCAGAGCCGGATGTGCGGTGAGGGGGACACAGAGGCAGGAGTGGGCCCCTCCGGTCTCCCTGCCCTCCCTCCCCAGTCTCGGCAGCGCCTGACACCTGTCGCGCCTCCTCCCGGCCCCCCCAGGATCGGCCCTCGGGGTCCAGGGGCGTCGGGTGCCTTACCTGCGGCGTGGGCAGCCATGGCTGCGGCCGGGCTCCGGCCCTCCCGCCAGGTGAGGCTCCGCGCCCCCGACGCCCTCCCGCGCCCCGCGACACTGCGCAGCCGCCGCGCGGGCTCCACGGCCCATCGATTTTTCTGTTGACTTTGGGCATCTCATTAATCCCACGTTAATTACCCCGCCGGGGCTCCGGGGCAGCCAATGGCGCGGCGGCGGGGCGGGGCGGGAGGCGGGCGCAGGTCTGCAGGGCGCGGGGCGCAGGGGCGCAGGGCGCGCGGGGCGCGGGGGGCGCAGGGGCGCGCCTAGCAGTAAAGGCTTTGTGGGTTCCGCGGCCGAGCTGGGAATGGGACTCTCCCGGGTCGCCTTTTTCTGCCCCTTCCCTAGCATCGGGCTGAAGTCAAACTAAAGGCGAGGCGGGGGTGGGGAAGAGAGCCAGGCAGAGCCTCATTCCTCGGTTTCCCATCCTCTGGTGGCCCCTGTCCGCCACGTGCCAGGGCGATCGCCCCCCCCCGCCCCTCTGCTCCCACGCAAGTCCCCCTTCTTCCCGCCTTCCCCTCCTTTCCAATGTTTGACCCTCTCTCCCTCTCCCTCCCACGTCCCTCTGTATTTCTTTCTTTTTTGTTTATTTACTTTTGTCGGCTGTGGGGCCTGAACTCTGGGGCTGTCCCTCAGCTCTTCAATTCAAGGCTAGCGCGCTACCACTTGTGCCACAGTGCCACTTCCAGCTTTTTCTGCTTATGTGGTGCTGAGGAATCAAACCCAGGGCCTCATGCATGCAAGGCAAGTACTCTACCACTGAGCCACCTTCCCAGCCCCTTCCCTCTGTATTTCCTGGAAGGGCTTTGGCAGGAGACCTTCCCCCAGTTGGGAGAAGGGAGGTGGGAGGAGGCAATCGGACTCCTTCAGACTCCTCTTAAACTTCTTAAACAGGAACCATAAACAGGTTGATAAATGGTAATTTATCAACCTACATTATCAACCGGGGCTCCTGGCATTCCTGAAATATTTGGGGGAGGAAGTATGCTTATAGCCGCAGGTAGAAGGGGACCATGGAATAGGAGGAATGAATTCCAGTGTTCCAATAATTCATTGACTATTTAAAAAATATTAAATAGAGCCAGGCACCAGGGGCTCATACCTGTAATCCTAGTTACTCAGAAGGCTAAGATCAGCGAAATCACAGTTTGAAGCCAGCCAGGGGAGATTCAAAAAAAAAAAAAAGAGTCCAAGAGGCTCCATCTCCAAGATAACTAGATAAAGCTGTGTTGGAAGCTGGGTGCCAGTGGCTCATGCTTGTAACCCTAGCTGCTCAGAAGGCTGAGATCTGAGGATTGGGGTTTCCAAGCCAGCTTAGGTAGGAAAGCCTGGGAGATTCATCTCCATTAAGCACCCCCCCCAAAAAAAAATCCAGAAGTGGAGCTGTGGCTCAAGTGGTTAGAGCACTAGCCTTGAGCAAAAAAGCTCAGTGGCAGCACCTAGGCCTTTAGAACCAACACACACAAATACCAAAACAAACAAAACCCCTATCCAAAATTAACCACCACAACAGAAAAACGTGCTGCTTGAAAAAAGAAGTGAACATTACTCTTCTTAGTAGGAAGGGTCTGGCTTCCTGTGTCCTTGGCAAAGTGACCTCTCTGCACCTCCATTGCCTTCTCTGTAAAATGTGGAAGTTGGACTGTGCCCCTCCTCATTAACTTTTCATGTGTCAAGGGACACATAAAAATATGTGTCACCTGGAAATAAGTAAAAGAGGAAGGTGCAGCTCATAAACTCTAGCCACCCCTCCCAGCCACCCAGGCAACCGCTGTTGAGATCATCTATAACTCAGATCCCGCTCTCCCATTGAAAACTTTGAGGCCTCACACCTCGATCTTTACCAGCGCTGACTGCCGAGTTCCGAGTTCCTTTCCCATGACCTCCAACGGCTGAGACAAAGAGCGGACAGAGAGCGAGTGAATTGTGGGTTTATTAGTTCTCAGCCCCAGACAGTGCACCGCCAGGCCCCAAGGCTGGCATTCAGGATGGAGCTAGAGAGAGAGAGAAAGAGAGAGAGAGAGAGAGAGCCCTCCCTGCCAGGCCCCAGGGTCATGCAGAGGTGGATGGGTAAGTCCTGATTGTGATTTAAAAACTCATCCTGGAAAAATAAACTGGTGCAAAAATTCCACTCTGGGGCCGGCCGGGGAGGAGGGGATGGATAAGGTCGTTCTGTGGCTGACAGTTCGGGCTCCATGTCTTCTTCCCAGGTTTCAGGACAACACGTAGACCTCCAGCAAGCTGGAGACGGCGTGCATGCGGTAGAAGATGCCGAAGGGCAGGCAGATGTTGACGATGGCTGCCCAGAGGGAGGAGCCGTAGAAATCCACCTCTACTCTGTTGCTGAAATGGGGGCGGGCCCCGAAGGCAGGCATGATCCACAGCTGTGTGGAGAGAGGAGCACATCAGAAGCACCCCAGAATGCACTGGGGAGTCATGTCTGTGGGCTTTGCTGGGCTGCAACGGGATCCTTCTAGTTTGTTTGGACTCCGGAGGACTAGGGATCATGGCCAGGTGTCACGCTAGCATCTTGACCAGGCCCTGGCACTTTCTAATTTGCTCGGCAGTCTGCCCAGTTATGCTTGCTCATTTGGGACATCATGGTGGCTCACGCCTACAATTCTAGTTACTCAGGAGGCTGAGATCTGAAGGATCTTGGTTCGAGGCCAGCCATGGGCAGGAAAGTTCACTAGACTTCATTTCCCAAAATAACCAACAAAATGCACTAGCCTAGAAAGCTGGAGACCCTGAGGAGAGCGGGAGAAAAAAAGAGAGAGGGAGAGAGAGAGAGTTGCCCATTTCTAGGTTAGGGTTCTACCTACTGCCCCTCTCCCTCCCTCCTTCAGGACCCTCTATGACATGGACGTTTCAATAAATGACATAGAAATTGCTTCACACAGCTGGGTCTGCAGCTGGGGAGATGTATACAAGGGGGTGCTGGTGGCAGAACCAATCAGGCCCAGAGCAGGCTTGGCCAGAAGCTGCCCTCTCCAGCCCTCCAGGAGCTCTGCCTCCCCACCCTCTTGCTTCCTCCTCTGCTTTCTTTCCAGGCCCAGGAGGAGGAGGAAGCTGGATCACTGTTGCACCCATCCTGGATGATTAGGATGCAGGCTGTGAGACAAAAACCAAAGGCCTCCACAGAGACTCTTCTCCCCCCCCCCCACCAATTAACCTTTCCGAGTTGCATTGCACCCCCCCCCAACCTGTTTGTTCTGTGAACCAATGCTGTCAGAAATGACTCAGGCTCAGATACCTGGAAGAAGAATAGACTCCAGGAAGGTGGAATAATCCAGCCTGGGAGGAAGATCTGGGTGGAGCCTGGTGTGTGGGGGGGGTGGGGGGGGTGAGCACCAAAGCAAGACCCAGGTATCATGAGGTTTTTGAACCTTATTGACTCCTTGGTAGGGTCAGAGATTGGTTGATCACATTTTTTTTTTTTGGGTCAGTCGTGGGGCTTGAACTCTAGGCCTGGGTGCTGTCTCTGAGCTCTTCAGCTCAAAGCTAGTGCTCTACCACTTGAGCCACAGCTCCACTTCTGGCCTTTTCTGCTTATGTGGTGCTGAGGAATTGAACCCAGGGCCTCATGCATGCAAGGCAAGCACTCTACCACTGAGCCACCTTCCCAGCCCCTTGATCACATTTTTCTTTAAAATAACACTGACTATGGAGAGGCTCCTGCATGAGGGTCATACCATGTGGATGGGGTCACATTACGCAGTTGGGGCAGTGACTGGGAGATTACCTGTGCCTTCATTCAGAATATAGCTCAGTTAGGGCTGTTGATATGTCTCCTCTAGGTAGAATTTCACAAGAATAGAATTCACTCTATGGAGATTGTTTTCTGGTGGGATGTACATATATATATATATATATATATGTATCATACATATATATATATATATATATTTTGTGATGAGAATCAAACTCAGAACCTCTTGAATGCTAGGTAGACATTTACTCTACCATGAAGCTGTATCCCAGCCCCAGGATATACCCATGTTACATTCATTTCCACATGAGAGATACCCTTCTATTGGAGTGTATAACCAAAAGCTCTGTTTCTAGGTTGTTTTTACTATTTGAGATGTCACGATCATCTCTTGCTAAGAGCCCCCATGTATATCAACATCCAAGAATATTTAAATCCCTTCCATGACGTGGCACTGCATTTGCATATCCTCATCATACATCCTCCAGTTTACTTTAAACTCTGTCTCAAGCACTCTATTCAAGATATCTAATACAATGTAGATGTGATATAAATACTGGTTACATTATATTCTTTTTTTTTTTTTTTGTCGGTCGTGGGGCCTGAACTCTGGGCCTGGGTGCTGTCCCTCAGCTCTTCAGTTCAAGGCTAGTGCTCTACCACTTGAGACACAGCGCCACTTCCGGCTTTTTTCTTTTTGCTTATATGGTGCTGAGGAATCCCAGGGCCTCAGGTATGCAAGGCAAGCACTCTACCACTGAGGCACCTTCCCAGCCCCTTTACTAGAAATTTCTATACTGGAGATCATTCTCTTTGTCTCTGTCTCTGTCTCTCTCTCTCTCTCTTTCTGTGTGTGTCAGTCTTGGGGCTTGAATGCTGGGTCTGGGCATGTCCCTGAGATTTCTTGCTCAAGGTGAGCTCTCTGCCACTTAAGCTACAGCGCCACTTCTGGCTTTTTGTTGGTTACCTGGAGAAGAGTCTTTTGGACTTTCATGCCTAGACTGGCTTTCTACCATGATCCTCAGATCTCAGCCTCCTGAGTACCTAAACTAGGATTACAGGAGATTATTTTTATAGTAAGGGCATTTCCATACAGGGTTGTAGTTGCAATCGGTTTGTTTTTCTATTGGGATGTACCTTCACTACAACAGTTTCTGCCCTGGGGTGGTTCCATCCAACCAGTTTATTTGTACTGGGTGAAGCCTGTTGCTTTTAGTCGACTTAAGCAAATGAGATTGTGCCAGCATTTCTGCCCCCTTCCTGCCAGCCCCCTCCCAACTGCTGACAGACTGCTCACACTTGCTCACACTTATGCTGCGCTCCCCGTTACTTCCTGAAGCTGCTCCAATTTTTCTGAGAAGCAGGCAGGTCACAAGTTGCAGAA